TGACTTAAGAAGCTGCATACAATGCCCAGCATTCCATATCACAGTGCAGGTTCAGTATTTGCTACTCTGCTTCCAATACAGCTTCCAGCTAATGCACCTGGAAAGACAGTGGATGATGGCCAGAATACTTGGGCCTCTGCCATCCATGTGGAAAACCCAGATGGTCCAGACCTGGGTGTTACAGCCGTTTGGAGAGTGAACCAATGGATAGAAGATATCTGTTTCTTCCTCACTCTCTGTAAATCTGTGTTTCAAATACATACATACATATATACATGATACATACATACATAACTCATACATGCATTTGGGGAATGGACCATTAGATGAGAGTTCACTCTTAAATAATAAACATTTTTAAAATTTAAATTAAGAAATAAAAAGACATAAATATTACAAAATGAAGGGAATCAATTTTAAGAGGTGTAAATTAATTTTGTTCTTTTGTTCTTTACATTGTTTAAATGCCTCCATATGTAAATAATGGATGTATCTTGATGACATAATATCCCCCCTAAAGCCATTGTAAATTAAAAAATCCTAAATGAAAAATTCATTTAAGGGGTAGGCATTCTGGTACAGTGGGTTGAGCCACTGATTGGGATACCTGCACACTGTATCAGAGCGCCTGGGAAGGAGTCCCACCTCTGCTTATAATCCAACTTCTTGTTAATGTACCTGGGAGGCAGCAGATGATGGTCCAGGTACTTGGTTTCCTGCCACCCATGTGGGAAAAAAGATGGATTTCCCGGTTTCTGGTTTCAGCCTGGTTCAGCCTCAGCTGTTGTGGGCATTTGAGGAGTGAACCAGTGGGTGGAAGATTCACTCTCTCTCTCTCTCTCCTCTTTCTCCTTCTCTTTCTCTCTCTCTGTGTATGTGTGTGTGTATGAGTGTGTGATTCTTTCAAATCTCAAATTTTTTTTTAAAAAATGAATTTAATTTATTCTATCTACCTCATATCATAGCTAGCATCACAGCACACTGTAAAGTATCGGTTGTTTACTCTTGTGATCACATGACTGGCTGGGAGCTGTGGATCACTGCTGCCTAGCGTCACAGGAAAGTATTATTTATATATAGCTAAACTGAGAAAGGAAAAATTCAAAGTATAGTATCTACTGCATGTATATAACTTTCATGTCATATAAAGTAAAGAAAAATACTGTAAATGGAACTACCACAAGTCAAAGACTGAATACTAATTAAAAAGTGGAATACAAAGAGAGGGTGCAGCTTATCCAAAATAGACTTATAACAGTGAACACAGAGTATTTAATTGGTTCATTTATGGTAGCTGGTAAGCCTGTTCAATGTCAACTACAGTCCACTGAATTAAAGTTGTTATGAACAGTCTAATTGCTTTATTTGGCTTATCTTTGAATAATCTAGCTGTATATCAACCACCTTAATCATTTTGGTTTTTAAATTTTTTTATTTGAGAAGAAGAAGAAAAGACAGATTGTTCATTTGTTCTTTCCCCAGATGGCCACAACATTGGGGCTGGGCCAGGGCTAGAGTCAGGATCCAGGAATGCAATACAGTTCTCCCACCTGGTGGCAGGAACCTAACTACTTGAGCCATCACCACTGTCTCCCAGGATGCACACTGGCAGAAAACTGGAGTCAGGAGCCAGGGTGGGAAACTAAACCCAGATACTCTGATGTGAGACAGAGCATTCTAACAACTAGGCTCCCCACCTGCTATTCCTTTTGTATTTCTTCATCATTATTGCTATTATTATTATTGATTTTCATTTTATTTGAAAAGCAGAGAGACAGATGGAGAGAGATCTTCTATTCACTGATTCACTCCTCAAATGCCAACAAGATCCAGGGCTGGACCAGGCTGAATTCAGCAGCCTGGAACTCCATCTGGGTCTCCCACATGTATGGCCAGACCCAAGTACTTGTTCCATCATCTGCTACTTCCCAGGATGTGAATTAGCAGAAATCTGGAGCAGAAGGAGAGTAACCAGCACTCAAATCAGGCATTCCAACATGGGAGGTGGATGTTCTACGGGGTGATTTTAATCACTACATCATGCACTTTCCTCCCTTTTGGATTTCTTAATGGCTAATTTAGTCAGTGGTCAGTACCAACAACATGACTGCAAAACAGAAATTGATTGTGACACAGATACTTACTTATAATCAAACCATATTAACTTTCAAACTCATCCAACATGTAGGAGAAGGTTCTCTTTGAACAGATCTTAACACATTGTATATGATCTCTTTTGATCTAACAACTTATGGTTGACAATATAGGTCCCTTAGCATGATACAAAGAGGTGAAGGTTGAGTTAAAAATGAAATATTCCCAGTAACTTAGAACAGAAAAGTAATAAACAAATGCCAGCAAAATGGACTTGTTTAAGACAAAATGCCACTCTTGCTTTTGTGAGGGTGTCTTTCAAATGTTCATGGAAAATATATTTTGAAAAAAAAAAAACTATGTATGAACTTCAAATTTTATGCACTACAATTAACTTATCTTTTAATTTCATTTTCCATGAATTTTTTGAGATTCCATTATATCCAGTAGAAGAAGAGAACTATATATAGTTCTTCTGGTTATTTCAGGCCTTTTCCTTAGGGTGATGAAAAATATATACACTAAGTGTATATCCATGAACAAATGAACAAGATATATGTTTGAAAACCAGTGTTTGTTTAGCAGGGTATTAGAACTAAAGTTTGTATTGTATTTCTTTTTCAGTCACTCATTGCCAGGCATGTCTCATGAGCCGCAAGATGGATCTGCCAGGAATATAATTTAATGAGTACCTCCAACTCATTACAGGAAAGACACTGAGGTTGGCTGTTGGCCAAACCTCAGGCCCAAAACCCACTGAGGAAAAAGCCATTTAGTATTCTTGGGCTTTGTTTCATGGAAAGTAGAAATTCTTTGGGGTTGATGAATAGAACTAACATAACAAACTTGATTCAAAGACACTGGTCAAGGGTTAGAAAGGAAGAGAAGGATAATTGAAAGCAGAACCTTGGGCAATATTATTGACTTGTGGTTCTTTGGCTCTCTAGCAAATAAAAATTGACAAGAGGTCAATGGTGCAACCCTGTCAATGCTTACTGGGGGCTTTTCCTCAAATACAAGTAAAAGATCATAACAAAAAGGTTCTGTTGAATGCCTCTCTGACAGGTGCTAAACGGGTGCTTTTTTTTTTCTTAAGAATTGTATTTACTTATTTGAGAGGTAGAGTTACAGACAGAGAGAGGGAGAGACAAAAAGAAAGGTCTTCTATTCACTGGTTCACTACCCAGATGGTCTCAAAGGCCAGAGCTGGGCCTATCCGAAGCCTTGAGCCAAGAGCTTCTTCCAGGTCTCCCGCATGGGTGCAGGAACCCAAGCACTTGGGCTATCTTCTGCTGCTTTCTCAGGTCATAGCAGAGACTGGATCAGAAGAGGAGCAGCCAGGACTTGAACTGGCACCCATATGGTATGCCAGTGCTGCAGGCGGAAGCTTAGCCTATCATGCCACAGAGCAGGCCCCTGAACAGCTGCTTTTATGGAATTGGGGAAGCATAGTGCTACCCTCTAGGCACGCTGGCACTTAAATCTGTACCCATCCCAGAGTTCTGGCTCATCGTACTCAGCCCTCAACACTTTGGTTAGCACCAGGCTTGGTATTCTGCAGGGGCCTTCGGTATATTTTTTTGCACAAAATGTTGGTTTTGCTCACTACTTCCACCCCAAAAAGGCCACATATTAGTAACATCGGGCTATTCTGGGCATGCATGCATTTTGTGAAGGGCAGTAGGTCGTCTTTTTCTGTTAGGTTCTGTATACTGCTTGCTGCTGGTTGGTTTGGCACTACAGAAGCATACAAAGGTTGTGAAATGGATACCTGTCAGGTCAAGGTGGGACTGGATTTAGTGAATCTTGTTTCTACCCTGGATCAAATGTGAGCCTGGAAACAAAAGGGTAACACTGGTAGGGTTTGTGGTCAGCTGAGAGACTATTGGCAGAAAGGTATGAAATACAGTGAATAACCTAAGAAAGAGTAGCAGTGCTGGCCATTGCAGGTTCTTGAGCAGAGGGGCAGCAGATGGGTTCATTCTCTCTTTCTCCCTCCCTCTCTTTCTCTGTCTCCTCCCTCTCTCCCTCCCTCACACAAATAATAAGTAAAGCAATTTTTAGTCATAATTTGGAGTTCATGTCCACCGATCAATGTCATCAAAATATTTCCTTATATATACTGATTATAAATCAATTACAATTGTCTGAATAATAGTTATGAGAAGAGTAGTATGTTTATAAGAACTGATAGTCAATATTATGATCTCACCTGTTTTAAAGGCAATACATTTTAAGATATTCTTTGGAAAGGTGAGCTATCTCTATTGAAAGCAATTTAAATTGGCACAGATAAAGATGGAAAAAACAAACAGAGCTCAGTCTCTAATAATCCCTCATCCCTAGTAGAGAACGGAACTGTATAGTAGTTCTGCTCACGTAGTCAGAATGTAGCTTTTTGGGGCCAGTGCTGTGGTGTAGCGGTAAAGCCGCTGCCTGCAGTGCTGGCATTCCATCTGGACACCGGTTGGAGTCCTGGCTGCTCCACTTCATATCTAGCTGCTATGGCCTGGGAAAGCAGTAGAAGATGGCCCAAGCCCTTGAGCCCCTGAACCCATATAGGAGACCTGGAAGAAGCTCCTGTCTTCTGGCTTCAGATCATCTCAGCTCCAATTGTTGTAGCCATTTGGGGAATGAACCAGCAGATGAAAGACCTCTCTCTCTCTGCTTCTGACTCTCTGTAACTCTGCCACTCAAATAAATAAATATTTTTAAAAAGTAGTATTTCTATTAATTTGATATTAGCCATAGATCCTGCCAACTTTTGATTAAACTATTTTGATTTATTTTCTAAAATAAAGACATCCAAGTCTACTTTTCTTTGCTATCTTCTGGCTTTGCAGCAACAAAAATATTTTCAAGGACATCCTCAATACCAAGATTAATGGAACAAATAGTGAACCTACCTCTATCTTTTTCTCCCACTGCGTGACCTCAAAACCGTTCAGTTTCCCGCTTCCCCCAGATTTCTGTTGATTGAATGCCTGTTCAGCATACCATGACCCCTGAAGGAAACAAGAGAAAAATTTATTATGATAGACATCTCTAGTCTCTTGCAGAAACATCTAATTTAGTGACCAAATCCTCCACAAGTTTTAAGAAATGCTCATGGTTATTATTTCATTCCTTATCTTTTTTTTTCTTTTATACTTCCCTGATAGCAAGAGTAGGACACATTTTCTTATGTAAGCATCTCCCTATGCCTTTATAAATGATGAATGTTTTTCCTTTCATTAGTTTGTTCACCATTCAAAGCCATCAATTGTATCCTGATAAACCTTTCTCATATTTTGTTCTAAAATTGTGCAACAAGAACAGTCAAGGACATTCTCACTATGCAGTAAAATGAACAATATAGCAATAAACTTAGGTTTTCTCTTCAAATTTTTAACATTCCATTAAAAACAAATTTACAAGGGGACTGATATTCATTTTCAAATGTGTGATATAAGAAGCAATATATCTCTGTAGTAGTTCATCTTGAATTCAAATGCCAAGGAGCAACATAGGGTTTTCCTCAATTACATGATGGTGGCTGGAATTCTTGAAGTGAAAATGAACCCAATAAAACCTAGTTCACACATAATGCCTCAGCATCAAGAAAGTAACCTGAAAGTTTGCCATAAATAGGTAGCCAATCTACTTGCACATTTTTTCCTACTCCTATTCTTTTAAATATTTATATATTAAAAGCCCCCATTTAAAAACCAAAAATACAGAAAACAACTTCATTATTTTCATTTCCATCTTCCACTTTTGCCAGAGACAGTCACAGCTGATTTCTGGGTAAAGCAGTCCCATTTTCAGGCAAGTAGTCTATGTACTGGAGTGACATATAGTAAATGCTCAGATGATGAAAATGAAAATGTGCATTGAGATTTAATGCTATAACAGTACTCAAACAATATATTTCACTTTGTGTTTCTATGGGGGTGCAAACTGTTGAAATCTTTACTTAATGTATACTAAACTGATCCTCTGTAAAAAAAAAAAAAAAAAGAAACTATCAACTCCCAACTTGACTCTCACTGGGATTAAACATGACAATAGGTCTGATCTGATTTCATCATCATTTAAAAAAAAATCATCTATTATTTTTCACTTTATGTTTCTGTGTGGGAGCAAACTGTTGAAATCCTTACTTAATGTATACTAAGCTGATCTTCTGTATATTAAGATAATCGAAAATGAATCTTGATGTGAATGGAAGGGGAGAGGGAGTGGGAAAGGGGAGGGTTGTGGGTGGGAGGGACGGTATCGGGGGGAAGCCATTGTAATCCATAAATCGTACTTTGGAAATTTATATTCATTAAATAAAAGTTAAAAAAAAAGAAAAGAAAATGAAAATGAAAGAGCTATATTTCGTTCTTTGTATAGAAACAAGGTTTTCTTTTTCCTCCTAACTGTAAGACCAGTAATGCCAATATTCCTCTTCTTGCATGTATTGTCTAACTTTCCTCAGGTTATTCATAGTAAGAAAGAGTCTACTTTTGTATTATGTATCAGGAATCAGTACTGTCTGCTGTCTCCACTCTCCTCTTCTAATAAATCATGTTTCTCCAGGCTCATAATGTTCCTCACTTTATTCTGCCAACTGCATTTGCACAGGCACCATCCAGTGACACTGTCTTCTATTCCATACATTCTTACAAAGATTATAACATCCCTCACTAGTCTCCCAGGTCTGAGGAATCCCCTTCCACTCTAGCCTCCACTGACCATTCACACTGGTGTAGTAAATGAAGTTTCAATTTTTATAAAACCCACAAATTACATATACTTGAAATAATGTATGTTTTCCCCTAAAAGCTCAACAAAATTATGCTAACCACTCTTTAAGCTTTCAAATTAATTTTCATCTCCTATGTGTCTCACATTTTCTCATAGCTTACAAATTAGCCATTTAAAAAAAGTGGGAGCCAGTGTTGTGCTATAATGGGTAAAACCTATGCAAGTGATGCCGGCACCCCTTGTGGGTGTCAGTTTATGGTCAATCTGGTCCACTTCCAATCCAGGTCCTTACTAGTGGCTTCAGAAAAGCGGTGGAAGATGGCCCAAGTGTTTGGGCCCTTGCTACTTATGTGGGAGATCCAGATGAAGCTCCTGGCTTTTGCTTGACCCAGCACTGGCTGTTGCATCCATCTTGGGAGTAAACTAGTAGATGGAAGATCTCTCTCTTTGTCTCTGTCAGTAACTCTAACTTTCAAAATAAATAAATAAATGTTTGAAAGCAAGTAAGCAGGCAAGCCCTCAGGGTATTGTGGAGCAAAAGTACTGAACTTAGTTCTAGTTCCAACTCATTCATTTATCAGTTGTCGAATTGAGTCATCTCCTTTCCTTCAAGTAAATAAATGACAGAGCCATGACTGTATAGTAAGTTCTGAATATGGAGTTGCTGCTTTCCTTGCAAAAGTAAAACTTACTTCTTCTGTTTAACATAGATTCAGATTGGGAACTTAGAAAGATAGCTGTTATCAAATCCCTAAGTCTTAACATCTGCCTATTGGGAATGTGATGTGCTTTGGCTTCTAAAAAAAATGAACACCAAATAAATTATTTTCTAATATATTTGGACTTCAATGATACGTTGACTCTAAATGAGAAAAGACAGTACCACATGATCACACTGATGTGGAATCTCAAAGAATTGATCTTATTGAATTTGAGAGCACAATAGTGATTATCAGAGGTTGGACTTGTATGGGAAAGGGGACTGGGGAAAAGTTAATCAACAGATACAAGGTTACAGTTAGATAGAAGGAATAAATTTTGCTATTATATTGCATAGAAAAGTGTCTCTAATTAACAATAATGAACCATTTATTTCAAAATAGCTAAAGTGTATTTATCCCAAAGAATTGATAAATATTTGAGATGGTGGATATACTAATAAGCCTGATTTAATCATTGTGCGTACATTATGTATGCATCTTTTAAAACATTATATTGCACTCCATAAATATGCACATATATTATGTCAATTAAAGATAAAAGGGAAATAAAAGAAAAAAGGGCTCAAAACAGTGACATAATTGACTGAAACTACCATTTAATTTTTAAAAATCCAATTGTCATTTGTGGCACAAATATTAATGTAATTTCCTTAGAACCCCACTAATAACTCCAGAAATTACTTAAAACTTTCAAATAGAAAATATATTCTTATTCTGTCATTGCATTGTAAGTTTTTAATCAAATAAATGCAGAATTGTGTAATTTGGTGTTTGTTTATTTCTCTTCTATAAAGGAAATAAAAGACACCAACCCAAATATCACCAGATATATAATTAGCACTGTGGCCCTAGCTCAAGGAAGTTTTTATTTTATATTAAATATTTTTCTAGACTTTTAAATGACCATTGGTGGCAAGTGGTTTTGGAAGATACTGATTGTTCTAGTCTTTTAACTTGTATTGTTTTATATCACTCGATAATTATCCTTCAAACAATGTAATGGGGATATTGGGTCTCATGTTTCTGATGACCTTGACAGCTTTGAAAAATACTTATCAGATATTGCAAAGAATCTTCTTTTATTAGGTATGATTTGTCTGTTTTTCTCATGATTAGACTGGGGATATGGGATTTGGGGAGAAAGAGCAAAGATGTTAAATGACATGTTTACCACATAGTATCAAGGGTACATAGCATGAACATGACATCACTATTGACCTTGCTGACGTAATGTTTGTCCAAATAGGACACCGTGAATTTGCTCTTCTTCTCCTCTCACCCTAGTTCCTCTGCTTTCTAGCATACATTTTGGAGAAAAGTCACTGTGTATAGCCCACAACTAAGGAGTAAGGTGGTATTTCTACTTTTGTAAGAGTGTATTATCTGTATTAATTATTTAGAATTCTTCTGCACAAGAGATTACATTTCTTTCTTAATAATAGTATTGACTCAAATATTTTATACTTTGGCTTATAATCCAAGAGTACTTTATTATGTTTTTCAAACTGTTCCAGATTTGGCCATAAGGAACTCTTTCATTTGGCTCCTGTAGTACTTTTCCATTTTTTCTTTTAAGACAATACATAAAACACTATATATCATCACTCAATATTTCACCCTTGACAGAAACTGGTATATGGCTGCATGTGGGTAATACAGGGTAAGAAAGGATTACTTGGGTACAACAGAAGGAAGAGAGAAGTATGAGACAGGTATAATAAGCATTGTGATCCCATCAGGACTGAGGTACTCATTACCCAGGTTGTTGGGAATATTAGTGGCTGAAGGTCCTCAGCTGAGTTTTGCTCCAAGAATTGCCTACAGACCCAAAGAGATCACACCCACAAGTCATCGGCTTATACAGAACTTTTCTGTGTCAGTTACCATTTTGACCAATTCTGAAGATGCAACCTGGCTGCTGACTTCCCCTTGGGATCCGGTTTCTTCTTTACCCAGGACTGTTTCCTCATACACAACTGCCACCAGGTAGCCTCAAGGAAGAGAGGTAAGGCGAAAAGATAATGTACACAAGCATGACAGAATTGATTACACAGAGAAGAGAATTTAGATTGTGAGAAACGGGGCTGATCAGGTCAGACCAGGTTATAAGGAATCCAGAAAGCTAAGCAGAAAGGGTTAATTAAGACTGATTTTGGTAAACAATGAATCTACATTGGAATGTCGCCCAATAAAGTATGGTGTATCCTTACAAAAAAAACAAAAACGTAATTTAGCCATGAGAAACCAGAAAAAATTTAGTAGCTAACATTTATACTAGCTATTAATTTATAAGGCATATGTTAAATACTTTGTCATTAAATCTTTACTATAACTCCATTTACAAATGAAGAAAAGAAGTTAAGCTTGGAAATCTTCAATAACTTGTCCAAGATCACACAGCTAGCTAGTGAACCACTGGAGGGATTCAACTATCACTCAGAATTACTCTTTTTTTTTAAGATTTTATTTATTTATTTGAGAGGTAGAGTTACAAACACTGAGAGGTAGAGACAGAGAGAAAGGACTTCTTTCTGTAGGTTCACTCCCCAAAT